AACAATAACAACGACAAGCAATTTTCTCAATAATGTAAAAAAGTAATGGTATTATTAACACTGAACTGAAAATGTCAAAGGCCAAAAAACATTCAGGAAAGCAACACTGGAAAAAAAAGGATTGCTCGCATGTAACAGGTGATAAAGAAGAAGAAGAAGAAGAAGAAAATAAAAGAAAAACATTACAGTGGAAAATGATAACAGCAAAGGATTAAAATCATCGAAGGGAAGCATGACGGTGGCAGTGCATGTCGAGTGTAGCTGAGTGGGTGTGATTTGTCTCTCTCTCTCTCTTTCTTTCTTTCTTTCTTTCTTTCTTTTGGCTCTTTCTCTCTTTCTCTCTCTTTCTCTCTCTCTCTGTCTGTCTTTCTCTTTCTTTCTCTCTTTTCTCTCTCTCTCTCTCTCTCTCTCTCTCTCTCTCTCTCTCTCTCTCTCTCTCTCTCGAATAAAAATAAACCCGCAGCTGAGTGTGTGTGTTTGTTTATTTTCTCTCTCTCTCTCTCTCTCTCTCTCTCTCTTCTCTCTCTCTCTCTCTCTCTCTCTCTCTCTCTCTCTCTCTCTCTCTTTCCTCTCTCTCTCTCTCTCTCTCTCTCTCTCTCTCTCTTCTTTCGCACTGTCTCATTCTAATACACATTTATATACATATACACGCACATACACACACATTTCCAACAAACCCCTCCATCCACACACACTTTATTCACCTAGATAGGAGTGATAGGAAACACGCTATCTGCCTCTGCTATTGCTGACGAACCGTTGATTCCGAAGAGAACCACGAACAGGTACATCAATTACAAATATATCCAGACGACTCGAATTTGCCCAGATAAACATTGAAACGATAATATGTAGAGCTCGAAAGATATTTCGTGTAAATCGTTTTATTCTTAAATTACCTTTGAATTAAGTACTTTATTCCTGATTGGGAAAAGGCACAACGTTATCCTAATCATTATTATTATTATCATCATCATTGTTGTTGATGTTATCATTATCATAGCTATCATTACTCTCACTTTAGGGAAATACACCCAGTATTTTCATCGAAGTTACCACTGCTTGTCTTCAGTAAAGATCCTTTTATAATGACGAAGTGGCTATATGACGAGAGAGCTAGAAAGAGCAGCAGGCGAGTGAAAATAAGAAATTAAAAGGTAAATATGATAAATAAGAGAAAAGCAGATACATACTCGAGCCGCATTCATCAGGCGTGAAGAGGCTCTCAGGCTAATGTATTGATTAAAGCTAGAACTATTGTGCAGAGCCAGCTTTCAAGAATGGAAAGAGAACGTAAGGGAAATATATAAAAGTCTTATTTCATTTTCTCATCTATATATTTTTTTTTCATTTTCTTATCCATTGCTTATTATTCATTTATCTATTTTTATTTGCATTTGTTTATTTTCTATATGTATTTATTCATATTTTTTATTTTCTATTTTTTTATTTGTATCTATTTACTTATTTGATTTTATCCATTTTTCATTTGTATTTATTCATCGTTATTCTTTGTACGTATATATATATATTATATATATATATATTATATATATATATATATATATATATATATATATATATATATATATATATATATATATATCTGTGTGTGTGTGTGTGTGTGTATGTACATAAATGTTTTTATTTATTTATTTATCTATTTCATTTATTTTTTTTTTTGGGGGGGGGGTGGAGGGATGTAGTTGTTAAATATGCAGAGAATTTAATGAAGAGTTGTCAAGGCGGAAAAGGGGGCGGGGGGGGGGGGCGACTGAACAGAAAATTAAGTTACGTGAATTAGGTTAAGGAACAGATTTTATTTTGTGATTTTTTTTTCTCTGTAGTTTATCTAAAAGGAAAATGATGATGATGATAATAGTGATGATGATTATAATGGCAATGATACTAATGGTACCAATATAATAATAATATATAATAATAGCAATGATAATAATAATAATAATAATAATAATAACAAT